TTTGTGTAATCTCTGGGGCACGCACCAGATAACAATGGACACGGTGTGGTTAGTTATCCTGTAGACTGTCTCTTCATCCTGGATGGTTGTTATAACCACACATACACAGGATCAGTCTCATACTCCTAATCAGTTTAAAAAAAATTTGATTGGAATATAAATTGTGTAATTAAAATAGTTTCTAAATGGTAAACAGTGTTAAATAATCTTCAGTCAAGAAAAAAACACATCTTTTATATCAGAAAGCAGTAAACGTACCAACTACATAAATGTCGATGGTACCCACCTGTGTGGTGTTTTCAGTGCAGAGCTATTGTTGGTTTTTATTTGTAATGATCACATCCTCATACTCCATTTCTGTGACCATTTAAACCTTAATGGCTGGTTCTTGTTTCATTTCCTCCTGTCTTTTTCCAGAATGTTAGTGCTCATCTTTTATTGATTATTTTATGGGTTCTTTTTTGTTGTGCCATCATTAATAAGTAATTCCTGAGCACAGCAAAATGCTGGAATATCGCATTATTTATGTCCTTTGACAAACGTACACTTTTGATTCCACGTTTGCTCAGATTAAAAGTAAATTGTGGCTTCAATATTGCAGAATAAAACCCTGGTTTTCATCCAATTGCAGCATTTATTTAGCATTTTATTGGCACCTTTCAAATGTTGATGTTTCGCCTGTCTTAAAACATTCATACCCTTTTTCACTTTCCCAACTAACTAATGAATGACCATGCTCTGACATGCACATGCTTCATTACTAATGCCAGCCCTTTCTTAGCGTGCTGCTGTCAGCTTCTTGCTCTCTAGTGCTGGCTCTCGCACGTCCCAGTGGGAGCAGAGAAAAGGGGGAAAGCAGTCCTCAGTGTTCCGTTTGTAAGGCAGCAGTGATTTTGGGCTTTGAAAAGAGGCTGTGTGGTAGAGCGCTGGTGGTAAATGACTATTTGGGGATGGTCATGACTCACCTGGTGTTTTGCATCAAACATTCCGAGCTGATGTGGTTTTTTCTGGTTTGGATCAATGTTTTATGTATTAGATAAAATCCTGCTTGTTGTATTTCCCTTTTAAGTTGCTGTATTTTCAGCTTTAAACGTGTGTTGCAGAGCATGCTCTGCATGTGTCACGGTTCTCCTACCTACACACACTCACGTTGTCAGCAGAAGGGATCTTACTGGGTTTATGGAATGCCAGCCAGGGCTGTTGACATCAGCATTGCTGGAGATTCACGGTGCATGTGTTCTTGAGACTGCCTGAGTGAATGTGCACATTTCCAGCCAGGGTGATCATCAGTGATAGTAGCTTCTTGCTACAGCACAGTTTCTGCCTCAACATTTGTTGTTTGTTTCTGAGTTATTTTTGAAATAGCTTGTTCTTTTTGCTAAGTTTGTCCCTATGCTGAATCACATATTAGATTATTAGTCATTTGTAGATTATTGTAACTGTCTAACAAGATTAGCACTCAATAGATAACCAAGTGAGCCTTTATTCAAATTAACTACAGGTACTTGAACAGACACAGATGTAAAGCATCCAGAGGTTTAACAAAGCTGCCCTTTTGAAAGCTGGGTTTTTTTTTTGTCTTGAATTTGAATAATTTTTATCAGAGAATTGTTTTGTGTTTCACTGCCAGTTATGTCTGCATCAAAAAGAAGCAACAGAAATCTTTGTTTTCTGGATTTTTAAATAATTTATGACAATATTAATGTATGGTGATAATTAATTGATTCAGTGAGCGAACACGTTTAGCTGGTCCAACCTGCTCTCTCTCTGAGATCATTTATTTTCACCAACAGTCGCTCCAAAACAGATCACAAGGATTCTATTGAAATTCATTAAATATAACACCACACCTCTGAGAAAGCAGCGTTGTGTTGAGTAATCAGTTCTATTTTTTCCACTGAGCTTGTCGGTGTTTTATGCATAGTGGGTGTTGTATATAAAAGGAAGAGCAGGATGTATTGAGGAGGTCTTGTTTTAAACTGTTTTTTGTCCTCATAAGAATTGTTCAAGAGCCATAGTTACAGAAGATCACTTGAAGATGTCAGATAGCAGTTTTTACTAGCAAACCAAATCAGGTGTATGATTGCAAAAGCCTGCCATGGGGGAGGGCTGCTTTGTTTCTTACTTCAGTTTTTTCTGAAGCCTGTCACCACCCAGCGATGGATTCCATCCTGCCAGCTTGTTATAACTTTAGTCTCATCCTCTCATGTGGCTGTTGTTATTTACAGCAGTTTCCCCTCCTCTTAACACTTTATTGTTTAGGTTCCCTTCTGTTTGAATGTCAGCACTTACTTAAAGATGAAGCAGATGTGTTTATTTTTGTTCACATCTTTCCTAATTAGCATTAGGGATGCACCGATGGACCGGCATTTGATCCCAATCGGCCGATGGCGCCCCTATCGGTTTTGATCGGAGTTTTCAAAATAGATCAAAGCAGACCGATCATTTTAGATTAGGTTATGTTTCCTTTATTCCCAGATTATGTAGTTTGTAGCACTCATTATAATGTTGTAGAAAATTTCTGGCCAATCCACGTGATCGGTATCGGTGATCGGTATCGGTGATCAGCATTCTTTGATATCGGTATCGGTGATCGGTATCGGTGATCGGCAGCAAAAAAACCTGATCGGTGCATCCCTAATTAGCAGCACATGGTCGTAAACGCTCTTTTAGTTCACAGATTTATTCTCATCTCCTAACTGTTTAAATATGCATATTGTTTTTGCATATTTGAGGTATTGCTGTGCTTTTAATGTATTACAGTCTCCTTTAGGTTTTCTCTTACAAACAGTTAATAAATAACTAAGACATTCTTAACATTTTCTCATTATGAAAACTTAAAGTATATTGAGAGTATTTTACAAAACTCTGTTGCTTTACATTCAGTGTTGCAACCTGAGTAACCCATGCAGAAAAGAACTGGATGAAACAAACCAGAATTGTCACAAGGTTTTATCTCTTAAAGCAAAGATGACATTTGACCTTGAAAAAAACTGCCGAGTCATTCTTTAATGCTCTCAGTCCAGTCCTGCCTGTGTTTAATCAAAGCTGTTGTTTTTTCCTGTGGTGCACTTGGAAATCATTTAGGAAAACCATTTGATGAAACGAGCTGGGTTTCTTTTAGTGACATTAGTTCTTTTCTGATTGTCACATAAACTAATTACCCTTTAAAACACCTTTGAGGAAACTAGAGGATAACAGAGTAAGTTTGAACTGCAATCATTAGCAATATAATTTAACGATTGTTACTTAGTACTATATTAAAATGTTTAGTTTGTGTGTCCTATCTGGTTAAAAGATGTAAGATGAAAATGCTGAACCACTGAAAAATCATCCGCAAGTGGGTGAATCAGGATTTTAAGCAGGCTGTACGAAAGAAAACAAGTTCACTCTAGACGTATTACAACAATTTAGGATTTCCTTTTTTAAACTCTTATGAAAACATTAAAATTAAAGCCTTCAGTTCTGTCGGGTCTGTGCTTCTGCTGTAGTTTTATGAGAGGAGACGGAGCTGGACTGGACATATTGTTCCTGTCCACTGGCCTCGAAAACTGGTGACCAGAATGAGTTTTCCCCTCTACTGGTTTTCTTCTGTTACGGTTAATTCTGATCTAGAGCCATGATGTTTTCAAAAACAAATCTTCTTTAAAAGTGCCACATGGACCCGTAATCATTTGTTTATACTAGTATTTTTCCGACTCCTTGTTTCTGGGTGAATCAGTAGTCCAGTGTTGAGGATTAAATGTAGGCAGGTAGCCTGAGGCTGCCGCTGCTTTGAAGGACAACGCAACTGCTTGTCGTGTCAGTGAGTCACTTGTAAGGGTGGAGATTGAGGATTATAAACCTGCCTTGTAAGGCTAATCAACACAGCTGCATGTGTTCAC